AGCAGACACACACGTACGTGTTTGTATGTATCACAGAGAATATGCATTTTTACTCATCTGAGTTTAACTCTATTTTACACATAGTTTAAAACAAGGAGATGAGCAACTGTACAATTTAAAAATGCCAGTAAATACTTTCTACATCTTTAGAAAGTTATTAAAATTATTATTATCTATTCTGCCTATCTGGGTACTCTTTCTGTCCCTCATTGCTGTATGTTCTCAGCCATTTCATAATGCTTTACAGATTTTACCCTTTCAACAGCTTTTCAGGGCAGAAATATATCCTTGCCATAGCAGAGCAAAGCCCAACTGCAGAATCAGACATATATTTCATAGGTCCAGTGCCATTTCTTATCCTCCATTGTGTCTTTCTGACCATTGGCAGTCTCTGCACAACATGACTTGAGAAGTCTCCAGATGTGCAACACTGAAAACCCTGCCAAGCCTGTCTAAATTGCTCACCTTTACTCCTGTCAATGCCGCAAATCACACTAGTGTAGATGTATCATTCAACACAGATTTGGCAGTGCTTCATTTTGCCTTCCTTCTCTTTCTGTTAAAGCTTAAGGGCCAAGACTCCTTGACTCCACTTAGGAAAAGTCTGGCAAATCCCAGGCTCAGGAAGTCCTTGCCAAAAGCAATATCTTACCATGTGCCTGAATGCCCTGCTTCTCTCCTCTGGTGCCCTGGGCTATTGCACCATTGGCTGTGAAATTCCTTTAGTGGCTAGTGCAAAGTTGTGGCTCTGATTAGATTTTTGCATCCATATTACAACCACTGTTCTGTGAAAGGGTCTTCTGTGCTACTCAAGCTGCCAGACACCAGCACCACACACGTCTGCTACCAACCTCAAGAGATGTTCTCAGAATTATTTTCTTGTGCTTCAGGAAGGGGAAGATGTCATTTATAAATTTTAAATTATTTCCATATATTTGCTACTTTAGTTCTGCAACAAATAGTCCAAGTGCATATTTTGATTTGTGCATCTTGTTCTGCATCTACAGCCTCTCCATCTGTAGGTGTAAATTTAAGGCGTATACTTCAACTTTACAGCAGATGCTTTCCAGTCTAAGGGAATTGGTTTTTACTGCTTCCTTTGCAATAGCTGGCTTATAGACAGTACAAGGTCATGAACCTGGTGCAAGGACGTCGCAGTCAATAAGCTAAACCCACTTGCCCATGCCTTTTTGCCATATAAGCCCTTGGGATCTGTAAGTTGTTGTCATGCTTTAAAATTTAAGAAAAAGAAAAAGAAACTCCACAAAGCAGCACTAAATTTCACTACTGCAATATAGAATAAGTCCAAACTAAAAAGTAATTGGCACACCAATTACAGAACACAGTTCTGTGTACACCCATACAGATGTATTGGTGTACTTACGATTTTCAAAGCTGCATGGTTACCTGCAGGCATGTAAGTTTTTGTTTAACCAGCTAGAAAAATGGTCTGATTTTCAAAACTGCTGTGCAAGCAGCAGATCCCACTAAAGTCAGAAGTAGGAAGTGAAACTTTGTATTCTATAATTTTGTTTTTTATAGTACTTTTCTTAATGAGTCTATTCTAAACCCTTTGTGAACAGAGCCCTCAAAAAATTGCACAAGGAACAATCATCTTAACGGTACTGCAATAAACTCTTACAATAAGTAAAAAATGTGGTAGGAAAGACGAAGTACTACTTTTACAATATCCTGTGCCAAATCACAGGTTATACAATTCAGTTTTTTATTTGCACACCCAACAGTGCTTTGTAGAGCAATCAGGGAAGATAATACAATCTATTTTAAATTCTCATTACTTTAGAAGTGTTGAATCTTCTTAAATTGTTTTAGGGTTAATTGAGAATTTGCAATTTTACAATAGACGAGGAATTGTTCAGGCTGCCCTTGTTTCATATTTTTGTGCATACCTTTGTTGCAAAGCTGTAAAAACAACAATAAAGAAAGAAACAAAGAAGTGAAATGAAATTAAATTAAATGAAATAATGAATTGCATTGTTACTATTCTAATAACTCAGTTTTACTAGAGATAAAGTTCAGGTATTGATTAATGTTGAAAGGGTTATTAAGTGGAAGGACATGTTAGGTTGTGGAATGTCTCACTATGCACTAGTGTTTGCTTTTGCTTTTTCTCCACATATTCCCTAAGGGAAAATTTCTGCTCCTGAGGAAGCTAGGGGTGAAAGTCTGAGTGACTTTACTGGGAGAATGACTAAGCCAAGTGGGTTTAGTATTTGTCTCTTTTTCTCATAAACTCCAAAAGGTTCTAAGTTCCAAATTTGTCCTCTATTTTACTTCAACATAATCATAGCTCATAAAAATTAATTTTTGATTCTGAAGCAGGCTGCATGAACACCAGTGTGGTCTTACACACCCTGGCAAAGTCAGACTGGCTCAGCAGCCCCGAGGAGGTCATGTTTGTCAAGCCTGAAGCAAGATCTTGGTGAAAAACAGCAGCTGTGTGAACAGGGTTGTCTATTAGCACCTCTGAAATTATCCATGTTCATCTTTTGGAGGATAAAATCACTTACCCTGGAGATACACCAAAGAAATGTTGAGGATACTGACGAGTTTTTGGTGAGAAGTGACTGATGTATTAAGAGAAGGCTTTCTTCTAAAAGCAACTTTGTTTTTCAAAGACAGAACTCAGAATCTTTTCTTCAGATTATTATTCTTCTGAAATAAGAGTACCTCATCAATCGCTGAAGTATAATGTCAATCTACAGAATAGTATATTTAAATGGACCTGTGGGCCACCCTGCAAATTCACAGGGGTTTTGGAGCCCTGTGCTTTCTAAGGCACAAATAAATTCAAGGCTTGCTCTGCCTCTAGCTAATGCAGTTATAGGGGGTACCTGATCTGTGGTCTGGGAAAGGATGTCAATGTTTCTGGCCTGTATTTCTGCATGTATCTGTACATGTGCTGCCTCATTTATGCATGAGGAAGCCAGTTTGCCCAGAACTTTTCCTTTTTTAACAATTAAGTTTCCTTCCTGCTAAATAGTATGGTGTCCATGCCCAAAATTTGTTATTCAGAGGCGCTAAGTCAAATCCATTTTAACCTCTCCTAACTTACATGAAAGGAAAAAAACAACCATCTTAATGACACCTTCCCATGGCATTATTTCAGATGTTGGAGGGGAGTGTCCTGGTGTGAGGGGGAGATGAGATTCATTCAGTTCATTCAATGCTCTCTAACAATGTCATCTTAATGACAAAATTTAAGCTTGAGCCACATACTGTCATTTGCTTTTCGTTACCTTTTACCTTCAGCCAAATGATCAGACCTACTGCTCGAAAGCAGGAAAATCTGTTGCATGAATAATGAATGATGCTGATGGCTTCTGCCAGCCTGGAGCTGTGGTTCTGCCCAGCTCTTCTGAGATCCCAGAAGAAATCCACAGTTCTGAAACTCCACCTGATCAAAATAACTGGGCAGTGCAAAAGCAGAAGTTAGATGGGACTGAGAGGTCTGACGTGGGGGCTGGGGATAAGAGGCAGCTGGATGGGACAGCTGCACACTGTCCCTTGTTGTTAGCAATGTCATTGGCTATACCTTAACAGTCTGCTGGAGGGATCTAGCAATGAATCACAACTTATTTTTCCTCTTTCCAGTGGGCACAAGAGACCAACACAAGCCTCTGCAATAAGCATTCAGAGATACCATGTCTGTCAACCAAGAAGGCTGCAATTTATTCTTTCCTATTCTAGCACCTGCCATTTTATTTCATTTTACGTACTTGTTTTTAGCCCCCTAACAATCTGTTGTTTGTGATTATTCCCTCAGGAAACAGTTGCACTGATAAATTATTTTTGGCAGCATTATCCAGTGGAGCACCTTCAGATGAATGCCACTATAAGGCACTGGCTAGGCACATACTTATTAAACAATAACAGGTTTTGTGTCAATAATTTATAATTTAAAATGTCTATAGAAGATTGTATGGCTGCTTATGAACTATAACAATTCACTATGAAAAAGATGAACAGGTTATTATGCTAAGTATTGATTATATGATTGGAGCTTTGGTTTTAAATATTCACGTTTTTCATTGGAGAGGGAATTCGTGCCAGTTGATTCAGCGCTATGTTGTTATATTACTTAATATATTTAACTGATTATAGAATTAGGCTCTAATCATGAACGTTCTTATGTTTCTTACTTCAGTCAAGCAGGACAGTTCTCAGTGCGTAAACTCTACAATCTTTCTAAATATTTCCAGTAACATGGTCTAAATATTTGTGCTGATTAATGCAAAGAAAGCACAACAGAAGATTTTACATTGAGGGATCTTGACAGACAGTATTTTCAAATCCTTATTTAGACAACATGTATGTGATTGAATTATTCCAAGATTCTGAGCATCTCTTTGAATCAGTAACAGCAGGAAACTACAGATCACAGACTGCAGAACACATGCACAAAAATTGAGTCTGCATATAATCAGTTCATGTCATACCAGGTGAACCCATTATCTTACACTCTTTTTGTTACCATACCCCACAAATTATCACATTTCTAGACTCATCCAAAATTACTAATTTAAAAAAAAAAAAAAAGAAAAAAAGAAAAAGAAGAACATTCATATAACTCCAGACAGAATTTTGAGTCTGGAAAAAGGAGGACTGGGAGAGTATTCATGAAGTCTGTAGATACCAGTGTTGATGCCGAGGCCATGGTAAGTGTTCAGGTACTTGGCTGTACAACACAGCAAGAGGAAACAGGTCCTACAAAATATTTAAAGTATTGATTTCTATACTAAGCTTTTCTGGGATGTTTGCATCCAAAGAAATTGACTCAAACCTCTCTGTATCTCCGGCTGTCAGATAAGGCTAACAATAATGAACCATCTCAAAGGGAAGGCACAAGGTTTAAAGTGTTTTTTTAAATATATCAACCCTGTGAAAGCCAGTGAGAGCAAAGACATATTCTCTGTAGTAATGTAATTCTTTCATGACTAGATATATAATCCGTTAATAACTTTTATGTTTTTATTTAGATATTCGATTTACAAGGATCCAGCAGGCTGGCTAGAAATCAACCCTACGAATGGTACCATTACTACCACTGCTGCCCTGGATCGGGAATCTCTTCATGTTCAGAATGACACATACACGGCTCTCTTTCTGGCAATTGACAATGGTGAGTAAATATTATAGATCATATTCACTAAAATACATGTCTTTTTTTCCCCTGCTTGAAATTTTCTGTTCAGAAAGGTGCATGTGTGAAGTTCAGCATGTGCTTCAACACTTTTCTAGGTGGTCACCTAAAGGTATTAGACATCATTGTGACAAACAGTGGAAATAATTTAAAACTTCAAGCTTAGAACAGCTTTGATGACTCAAGGTTATGTCTCACACATTTATTCCTAAGCTGAGATCTTAATGCTAGATGCAAACAGTCTGTGAACATTCTTGGAAAGTCATAAACCATCTTCGTCAAAGTTAATTTCTCCAAAATATTTGAGCAGTTAGTAAGCCTAAGGCACTTATATCACCAATAACAACTCATCCTTGATATGCTGAATTCTATTCTATTCAATACAATGACTGTGACAACAAAGACATAAATAAACCTCCTTGTTAAATTGCAAAATTTTTTACATATTGTGTGGGTTAAAGTTTCTTCTGTCAAATATAATCAGAATTAAACTGTCTATCTAGTGAAAATTCAGTGAATGACTTTGGAGCAGAGAAAGGAAGAGAAAATCCTGAACGTTCCAAATCTCCAGAGCTAAAGGCACAAACTAAATAAAAGATTTGTCTGTAATATAACAGCTAATATGCTAACGCTTGTTCACAGCTGCAGCTGGTTTAGCCCTGGTGATGAATTGTAAAATGTTCTTTTTAGGAGAGTAATTCTACATTTTTGTAACCACATGACTCAGGGAACATTTGCAGGACCTGACAGGAAAAAGAAAATATCGCCTTAAGTATAAAAGAAAAAGAATTCTGCTGAGATGATGATTTACTTATATATTCATATACATATTTTTCTCAGGAAATTTCCATCGAAAATGTGGCACTAAATTTATTTCTGTCTTTTACTTGCTATTGGATAAAGAGTTTTTAAATGCATCTTAAAATCTGATACACTGAGAAATGTCATTTTACAATCAAAGTAAAAATTCAGGATAACATTATTGTGGGACTATCAAAAAGACAAGGTTGAATATGGTGTAAAGGTGAAGTCGAATATTCTCAAAACGAATAGGTAGAACAAGAAGCTGAATATTCCCAACTGTGGAAAGCAGCCTGAATGAAGGTGGATTTGGGGGCATGCCTTTATGTTGTGCTTAGGGTGATAACATTGTTCATCTATTCTAAGCCAAGAACCTCACTGCCAAGTGATCATTCTTAATTCCCAGATGTTTTTCTGTTCTGGAAAAATGATAGAAGGGAAAGGTGAAGAGCAGAGCAGCAGAAGATCAGGAATCCTGTTCAGTTGGGTCACTGAGTCAGTGGTTGTTGCAGTGTCTATTTGTATTTCTGCAGTACAGTTAGTGCAGGAGCTAATCTATGCCAACATTATTGACTTCTTTGAGAGAAGTAATTGAAAACCACATGTGTGCATTTAGTTCTGTCATGCTAAAGTGTTAATAATGATCACTCAGGAGTATTGTACTACAGTACTTCACTGTATGTAGCTCAGCCACACGTGAAAGTGACAATAAATATCAGAACTTAAGTAGCTGATGCTAACCTTGTGGTCTGTATCACCCTGGATTAATTAACCAGCAACTTGTGAAACTTGTAGGCAGGTTGGTAACTAGAAAAAACCTCTGCTGGTCTGCTTAAATATATGAGTGGGATGTGAGGAGCAGCTCTGGACCCCCAAGCCCAGCCATGCAGAGACACTTGCCTCTGGTCACAACTGGCCAGGAGAGTGATGCTGGAGCCTGTAGGGGAGCAAGTGCTCCTCCTTCAGCAGGCCTCGGGGGGACAGGCAAGCCTCAGTTCCCACACTGTTGTGGCTGGATTGCTCCGTTCACTGGTTGCTCCACGTGCTGTCAGTCTGCAGTCTCAGTCTATTCTGTAGCTAAAGGAGATTTAACAAATTTTTTCAAGGGCTAGGTCTGTCTTGTCCCCTGCAGTTATGACTGGGACTGATAATATCCCTGGGAATGTGTTCCGCTAGTTATTTTCAGGCCACTAATAATGCTAAACAGCAAAGATGTGAAGCCCGCTTCATTTTTCTACCAATCATAGCTAATGTCTGTCTTGAAAAGAGATATTACATTAGATGACAAGCCAAATTGTGGTAGAATAATATGGAATGAATGCAGAATTCTTTCAGGACTTTACAAGAAGGTTATGTTAACTTAAAGAGGAAGAAAACTAGATTGAACATGACGGTATGCATTTTCATTAAAAAAGCTTTGTCCACAGACTGCAAGTCTCTCTGTTCAGGTTAGTAAGTGCAGCTTGTCTAATACCAGCTAATATGGTATTTTTGTGTGAGAGGGCAGAAAAAGGCAGGATTAAGAATTGCCAAATGAGATAAAATGATACATTGAACATTCAGAGGCATTTCCAATACAGCAAGTCATTTGCTTGGGCTAACAGACTTGGGCAGAAAAGGGAACAGAGGAAAATAAAAAACATTTAATCAGAGCGACTTTTTCCACAAGTATTCAATGCAGGCTATTATTTCTTTTGCCTATCTTCTTGTCTCCAAGTCAAATCTGAGATGAGTGGCACATGCACTGAGGAAGTCTGAGCTGCCACCAACTTCCCTTCTCTTAACTGGGGAATATGAGAGAGTCCTGGTAACATCCAGTGCACAGTGCAGCAGTGTGAGCTGGTGCACAGCACAGCTCCAAGCATAACACAGCACCTCAGTCCAGGCCCAGCACCGTGCTGGTGCTTGTGAAGCTTCCAAGACAAGCCAGCTCAGTTAGAGGTCTGCATGTCTGTGTGGCCACGTCAACAGTGCCTCATCCGTTCTTCCCAAAGTTCAGTTTCTAACAGCATTGGCACAAGTTTCAGCAGTTACCTTTGCTAATTGTCAGTAGAAGGGATTGCACTCATGATGCTTACTGGTGGAGGGTGTCTGAGCTGTGCACTGATTTTTGACAATGTTTCTAATATAGTGAGGTTCTAAAATCGAATAAGACCTTAGACATTGCTAAAGGACTTTAGACATTGCTAAAGGACTTTAGACATACACTAAAATGGAAAATAAATATATTATTTTCTATTAATATTAACAGCATATAGAGTTTGTATAGTTACATTAAAGGTACTGTTGTCACATCACATTTGTGTGCTGTCTTGGATGAAGAGTGGAGGCAGCTGAAAACAAAACCCACAGAGATATTTTTTCATCTTCTTTCCCTGATATCAATAGAGAATCCGCCATTGGATTCAACAGGCACTGGCTCCTTGTTATTACACATCAGTGCAGGGGACAAATGCCAGGGCATTTTTCTTATTTGTAAGATGCTGAAGACTTCTGTCAGAAGTAAAACCAGGAGCTTCATGCTTGGTAGTTCTTTATATAAGTCCATCACATCTTTATCTTTTTTTCAGTAAATCACCAAACTGTTCTTTACCAGTAACTGTGAATGGACCACAGAAAATAATCATTCCACCATAAGAAATAAATTAGTCATTTATGATATTTTTTTAACTTTATGGTATTATTTTTCAGCATTATCTGAAATTATCTGATTTCAGCATATTAACTGCAGAGAAATGTAAAATATGAATCATGTTATTTCTGATTTAAATGATTCCTTTTTCTGTCTTGAACATAATTGAAACAATATGTAAGAACAACATTGATGGAGACAGTATTAATTTTGTAGATAATAAATTCTGACCTTTTATTGGAGCAAAATTCACATAAAAGACATTTTTGAATGAATATCCTAATTTTCTCTGTACTTTTGATTTCAGTAAAGGTCATGTTAGTGTCATTAGAATTTGAAAACTTTTTATTGAAGACTTGTGTGCACATAGAGTCTCTGGTCTATTAAAGAAGAAATTAAACACCAGTAGGAAATATCATGAAGCAGAGTCAACACATTAAAGTGTCATGAGCTGTGTTTAATCTTAGAATGAGCTCATAATGGGACAAAGTCAGGTTTATGCAAACTTGGAAAACATCAGAGATTTCATTTAATTAACAGAAGTGCCAATAATGGTGATAATTTTATTTCCTGAATTGAGAATTCTAATCACTAAAACCAGCTCAGTGTCACAAGCACACAGTGCAGGTATTGGGAGTGTAACTGTAAAACACACATGTTAAATACAGAAAAGCAATCTTACGAGTTTGAGAAATCTGCTTGGAAAAGACTGTCCAAATTTCCTGTGTGACCATGTTGTAGGTTGTCTTACAGATTCTATTCCACAGTGGAGTATTTGGGATTACTATCATAAAGCAGAATACCTGTTTGTTTTTTTCATAAGGTCAGCCATGCTAAGAACTCTCTAGGAATGGTCTTTTTCCCCTATATTCTGAGAGTTTAAGTCATAATTTAGAAACAGAAAACGAAAAACAGAACACAAATTTTGGCAGTGAAGCTAAAAAATATCTGGGAAATGTGTGAAATTTAAAAATGTTAAAATGGTTTTCTCCCTTTCCTTTAACAAAACATATCTAGATTCACCACAGTTATGCAATAATCACTCATTTATATTGTGGACAGATGTGATACCCTAGTTAGCATTCCCATTGTGTAACAACTTCTATCTTTTTAGAAGAAAAACTTTGATTACCTTTGTTTGTCTGATACATGGAAAAACCACCTATGCTGTTCAAATATGTCAGCTGCTGGTATCAAGTGAGGAAACATTAATACTCTGTCTTGCTGATTTGGTTAAATGCAGTTCTCAGCTTCACTCTCCTTCTGCTATGGTGTTGCTGCAAAGCCTGGCAGTAATGGGCTCCCACTGAGACCGATCCCCTCAGCTAATGGAAGCATGTCACCCTCCTCCCCTGCTCATCAGCAGGGAACCACTGAGACAGAAACTGGGACTATGAGTACCTGTACTACATTTAAAGATAGAAGAGGGTAAATGTCCTTAAAAATTTGACATCTCTTCCAGGCGTTAAATATACTCAGAGGTGGAATTAAGGGTCCAAAAATTTAACTGATGTAGCTGTAAGTGCACTAAGTCACAGTAAGTGCC